GGAGTCCTCAAGCATGTCCACCAGTAAAACGTGTCTTTTGTTCCTCCAGCATGAATGAAATCTTCTCAAATTTTGGGACCTTTTGGGAAGGTATAAAAACAGGCATCTGGGCATTTTGCAAGTGTCCTGTTGGCAAATTTGCTACACTGCTGCTCATAGCTCCTCCACAACAGGATGAACAACACTGACGGAAACAACTTTTACATTCCTACATCCAACAGAACAGGGCTAGTGAAGGAGTCCTTTATTAATATATGCAGTATACCTAGCAGATTCATGGCAATATAAGGCACTTGCTTTTTATATGTTTTTGCTGATTTGCACCTCTCAATCTCATTTTGGTAAACCTGGCTTTCTTTTTGGATTCATGGTTACATTCTACTGCTCCCCAAGGCTCTGGGTCACACAGGCTGTGCCATTGAAGGCTTCTTGGCTACACTTGGTGGTAAGAAGATTTCAGCCTAGTTTAATGTTTTGTTGTTTAGGATTCCACATTGTGATTCCTTTTTATTTTTGTCTACAGTGCAGGTTTCTCTTTGGTTTCTGGTTGTGCTTGCCATTGAGAGGTACATTGGGGAGCTTCACATTCTCTTCAAACCATGCAATAGCAGCCATCGTTTTCACGCACTTCATGACCTGTAGCTTTTCAGTGCCCCCATTTTTGGGCTGGTCCAGGTAAGTCGCTCATGCTAATTAGACACTTTGAATCAGTGGAAGAGAGAGGCTCAAATAGTCATTTAAAATTCTTCATCTTGATGGTTTTTGGCTTCTTGATGAGGAGTCCTTAGTATCAACGACCAAAACAGAGGTGTGCTCAGTATTTCTTGTGTAGAACTATGCCAACTGTGTTTTTTTTATTCTTTTAATGCTTTTCAGTCCACTGTCTTCAACAAGCATAAGTTCACATGGATCAATCTCTGTAAACTCCATAATTACGGGCCATATACCTCTTCTTTCCCTGCTTTGGAAAATGTTATTTTAAAGAAGACTTTTTAAGACCTGACCTGATCCTTTTTTGTTAATGCAGACTAGGTATACATCACATCCAGTGTTGGGCTCGTTACTCCAAAAATTACTTGTTACTAGTTACTCCTTTCAAAAGTAAATATCATTACATTACTTTACATTACTTTTCCTTCACGCCCCACAGAAGTTGTGTATCTTTTTTGTGAATTCTTCGAAAATGTTACTAACAATATATTTGTGCCCCATCATTTGACCAAAATCTACATTGGATCACAGTCAGAAGTTTTTTAAAACACTCAATGGTGATTGATAGTGACTTTTAAGTAAAAGTGTTGTATTAATTGTCATGTGTAGCTTGAAGCTAATTGTCGCTATTATTTCTCTGTTACCCATATATGATTATATTTCATGAAGTATTTTATCAAAAGAAATCACATAAATTCATAAGATTTTTATAATCTATATTGGGATCAGAGGTATGTGGGTGGGCAAGCCATGTAGTGCCACAACTTACACATTTGTGTTCAGATCAGCTTTTCTCATGACAAAATCAGTGTAATGGCAATATTTACATCCCCTGAATGTAAGCTTTTCCATATTCCAAGCATTCCTGATGCACTGGTGACTTCATGTGCCTGTGCGAGTCGTGGAAATTATGAAAATAAATCTAGGAATTATTGGATTGTTGGATTTCAAATCAGTAGGGGTTGAAGCATCAAAAGTAACTAAGTAACTATGGATGCAATCTTATTAGTAGTTGCACTACTAGTTACTGCAAAATGTAATTATTATAGTAAATACAGTAACTACTGCCCAACACTGATCATATCGGGGTTCTATACTCTTTAAATAAATAGAGCATGGGTAGATTAGTAATTAGATTAGCAATGCTCAACACATGGTTATCTCTTGTCTCTTCTGTATGCTTCAAAACAAGGTAGCTCACCACTAAATCTAAACATAAGCCTCTTTTCTTGACATCATCACATGCAAAGGTCATGACCAGAACTGCTTAAACCCACCCAATGGTTCAATGAGAAACATGATAAGACACATAATGACCTTTTCGAGTCAGACATCATGCCTGATTCTATTAATATCTTTATATTTAGCTGCATTGCCAGCTTTTCTGTATATATTTTCCTAAATGTTATTAATATTGAAAAGTAGAATAATAAATATATGCACACAAATGTTGTTTTTAGTGGGTCTAATTGATGGCTAATAGTAAAGTTAAGACGCACAAACAAAAAGCTCCAAATTGAGATCACAAGACTAAATTAAATCTTTAATCATGTCACTTAATTCTAGCATGCCACTTGAATGTGGTACTTGCAATTTTTAAAAAATTGTTTTATATACAGATTTTATATAAAGTAATAAGAATGACTACAAAATTGCAGTGTTTATGATAAGCTATACCTTGAAGTTATGTGCATTCAGGGAAAATTGTAATTGAATAAATATATTAAAAAAAAATATATATATATAAAATAAAATAAAATGGATGAATAAATACATACATACATAAATATAGTACTACATTCACTATTATTTGTAAACCCCATCATCTTATTTGAAAAAACTATTTACCCATCTAATAATTCTAAATCATCCTTAACATTTTTCTTAATTGGAAATATTTGTGCTCTTGATTTTGAGTTATTCTCATATAATTCTCATATAATCATCTTCCAACATTTTGAGAAAAAATACAAAAAATATGTCATCTGAAGCAATTTGACCATCACCAGGCTTTTTGCACCCTGATGGCAACTAACTATACATCTCATTGGAGTGATTTCTAATTGTAATTAATCTAATACATTTTCTAATAATCTTCCATCAACTTTGTAATACAAAATGCTACAGAACAAGTGTGTTTAACAACTATTAGACCAGAATTATGGGACAACAGTTTACACGTCTAAATCTAACAGGGAATCCCCCTTAAGTGTTCTTGTCATTAAAAACAGAAACGAGTATTTAGCAGTGTAAGTACATCAGACAACAATCTCATTGTTTTCATGAAATACAGTGCTGTGTATACTCACTCTGAACTGACAAGTGAGTTTCTTAATATAAAAATCTCAAATGTCAAAAGAGTGTCAAGATCCAAAGCTTCACGTAATTAACTCAACACTGATTATGACTGCTCTTATCATTTAAATCCCACATTGCAACATCCTCCCCACCTTATGCTCCTGGATTTATCCCTTATAAGGAACCTCAGAGAGATATATAACACAACCTTTGCAAATAAAGAGCAGGTACACTGCAGTAGATTGCATCCTCTCCCTTGGTCTGGATCGCTAGTGGGCAAAGATGAACGGCACTGAGGGAAACAACTTCTACATCCCCTTGTCCAACAGGACAGGTCTAGTGAGGAGTCCTTTCAAGTATCCGCAGTATTATCTAGCTGAACCATGGCAGTTTAAAGTGCTTGCTGTCTACATGTTCTTCCTCATCTGTTTGGGTGCACCCATCAATGGCCTTACATTGATGGTTACAGCTCAACACAAAAAGCTCAGACAACCTCTCAACTTCATTTTGGTTAACCTGGCTGTGGCTGGTGCCATCATGGTTTGTTTTGGATTCACGGTCACTTTCTACACAGCAATTAATGGCTACTTTGCTCTGGGACCAACTGGCTGCACGATTGAGGGCTTCATGGCCACACTTGGAGGTGAGGAAAATTATTACACTGTATGTTTTCTGACAGCTTTAATCACGTATAGTGAGATGTACTGTAATTTGGGTGCAGCTGATCTCACTATTTTATTTGCTTCACAGGGCAAATTGCCCTTTGGTCACTTGTGGTGCTGGCCATTGAGAGATACATTGTGGTCTGCAAGCCAATGGGTAGTTTCAAATTCTCTACCAACCACGCTTTGGCAGGAATTGCATTTACATGGATAATGGCCTTGTCATATGCGGCTCCACCTTTGGTTGGCTGGTCCAGGTCGGTCTAATAAGATATACTATCTCATTAATTTGCCTTCCATTGTAGTATAGATGAGTGTAGATTGTAGTTACTATAACAAACAATTCAATGAAATCTGAGGCATTTTCTTTTTCTTTTCTTTTAATTTGGTCAATATTTATAAATGTTAACTTACTTTCAGTTTATGGCAGTAAAAGGAAACTTTTCACAGGTGAACACACAGAACTTTTGTACCGTTTATTGCTTTCTCATTCTTAGTAATTTTGCTAGAATTTAAATGAAAATAATTAAAATTGTGCAAAAGTACACAATTTACTAAATGCAGTTGTTTAATTGCAGTTGTTTTAAATTTCCTAACATCAGGTGCATTTCTTTAATTCCTGAGGGAATTCAGTGCTCATGTGGACCAGACTACTACACCCTGAATCCTGAATACAACAACGAATCATATGTCATCTACATGTTCGTCTGCCATTTCATATTTCCGGTCACCATAATCTTCTTCACCTATGGACGGCTTGTTTGCACAGTCAAGGCGGTATGAAATGTCAATTTAAACATCCCTGTAAATCACCAGTTATTGGAATACTATGTTAAAATGACATTATCCTTGGTGATTTTACCCTCTTAGGCTGCAGCTCAACAGCAGGACTCAGCATCTACCCAGAAGGCTGAGAGGGAAGTGACAAAAATGGTCATCCTGATGGTTTTGGGTTTCCTAGTGGCTTGGACTCCTTATGCCACTGTTGCTGCCTGGATCTTCTTTAATAGGGGAGCTGCTTTCAGTGCTCAGTTCATGGCTGTTCCTGCCTTTTTCTCAAAGAGCTCATCCATATTTAACCCTATCATTTATGTGCTGCTAAACAAACAGGTAAATCATATATCAGAATTGCCGGAATGTAAAGTCATATCCTGCACATCCCATTTCCTCTACTCTCTCAATTATAAAAAAAAAAGTGGTAAGTCCTCAAAAATGTACTAAGTGAAACATTGTTCTTTACAGTTCCGGAGCTGCATGCTGACCACACTTTTCTGTAGAAAGAACCCTCTTGGCGTTGAGGAGTCATCAACTGTGTCCACCAGCAAGACGGAGGTGTCCTCTGTATCTCCAGCATAGACTTTTGAACTTCTTTCACGATTATGTTCTTTTAGCCATTGACCAATTTCGGCATCTTAAAAGAAAGAAAAGAAGTAAAAACAGAGTTGAATTAGTTGATGCATCTCATATGGCTGTGTTCACTATTACCATTAAACTGGTGAACTCACAAATATTTGTTAAATAAGTAAAAGGCTTTTTGGCTGCAATGGGTTATCAGTGAACTTTTTTATGAAATGGGAGGCTAGTATCTTTGGCCTAAAATGTGTATATATTTTGTACATAATAAACAAATGGATAGAAATAAATATTGGCATTAAAAATGTCTTTGTTTTCATTATGAAATTAGTCAAATTATTGAAATTAGTTTACCATTAGCAGATTGAGCACACTCTATTTTTAAATCAATCCATGTAGTATTAGAATGCAAACAAATTCATCTGTAACACATCTCTCTCAGTAAGGCTGGACATTGCAACAAGGAAAACTGCTTTCTGCAATATTGTGGACAATGAGATTTACATATTCCATTTAAGGCTAATGCCCCAAAAAAACATTCATTGTCTAATTAAGTTTTTTTATCTTTAATTTTGATAGAGTTTACAAACTTTGAGTGTAGAATATATACAAATTTCCTCACATAAGTTCCTCAAGTGTATTGTGTTTTGAATGGCAGACCAAGTATGTAACAATAATAGCCCCTTATATGTACATTTTGCTATCATAAAGTTAGAACAGGGTTTGGTTGCTGCAATATCTAATGTCATCATTTCAGAATATACTGTTTATAAGGACTGAACATGAAATTATTTGTGTGGTAATCAACTTTATGCCACAATGCTGTTGGTTAAACTTGACTTGTATTGAATCAGAACATTCAAGTTTGGAGCAGTGTGATTTATTTTAATAAGAGCTGACCAGACTGAACATCAGCATTTCTTATCATTCTGACTCCTCCTAAATGTCTTAATGTGATCTTTATGATGCTCAGACAAAGCACTACTGGCCAGACACAGAAGCAGAGAGAACAGAACAGATGCAACTCCAGGAATGTTCTCTACAAGACAGAGCAAACACAGGTGACAGGTCAACAGCACCTTGGCAAATGGTCCAATAATGTTACTGTCAGTCAAATTACCTTGTGGAATCCAAGAAGGGTAGTAATTAAGTAAATAAGTTTACCCATCGCAATGTTCTTGAGGATGTAATTTTGACAATCTCTCATGCAGCAACTTCACAAGATCATGGTCCATGATCATGGTCACGTTTAACAATTTTGAACAATTTGCTGTTTGACTTAGGAACAGGTCCTAGGCTAAAACTTTAAAGGCTTTAGTTTGGATGTTAGTCATTTAGCTTGGATGACAAACTACAGCTCAACAGTTTAAACACATAAGCTCATTTAAGGCTACCTAATGGATTGGACAGCTATTCATTGGAACAGCACCATATGACATTATTACACAAAAGAAGCGGGAAAAGCAATGAGAAACACTGAAACGCGATAAAATATGATTGTGAAAGTTTTCACAAATCAGGCTCAATCTAAAAAAAAGTGATTTTGTATTTCAGCGGTCTGCGGGTTTATTATATCTGTGCGCGCTCCTCCCGAAACTTGTTAATAAAACATCACTTGACGTTAAACATGAAGCACGCCTATTTTTCACATTCCTGACTAGCGGACTTACTAAAGGGTTGACGGACAAGAGCTTTGCTGTGAAAAAATTCACAAATCTATCAGGTCAAGAGGACACTGGTTTCAGTGTTCTAAGTGTCCAACTTTTGGAGTTATAGATACGCATTTAAAAATTACTTTCACTATGAAAAAAAAAACAGATTTCGGACTGTAGGACCGCTTCACATGAATTCCCAAATCATGAAGAGTGACGTGATATGATTTGCATGTCTACAACAGCGCACTTCTGGGCCAAACCAAATCTGAATATCGAACCGCAAACTATCTTCACTGCGGTCATCTGACGCCTGCCTACCTGCCGATGTTTGCAGCGCAGTTGCTTTGGACGGAGCGGCTGGATCTTTGACGGGTGGATTTCGTGGTGGTTGTCGACGTCGTCCTGTGTACCCTTTTGCCGTTTGGGGTCCTGCTCGTCTTGGCTTTGTGGAATGGGAGACAAGGGTTGACAAGGATGCTCTCACATTACAACGGATTACACTGTTTATCTCACGGCTAATTTCGTTTGGACTTTGGGTCGGACATATGTTGCTCCATATTCTCACTCCGAACTGTGCGTTTGACTCAGATTTTTCTGAATTTGTGTGGTTGATTATGTTCATGTGGTTTTATTGTTTTGATCCTATTTTCACTGTTTTGAGCTCTATAAAATCTCTAAATTGTAGGCTATAGCGCAGGCTACATGTTGTATGTCCAGCTCCTATTCATCCCAAAATAAAAATACAAATAAAGAAAATATATAGGCCTATATAGGCCTATATGTTTTGCTATTTTTATAGATAGTTTGCATTTTGACATTTTCACTTTTAGATCATTTCAGTGCATCGGTTGATCAGGTTCACAAAACAGGTCTGAAAGATTTGTTCGTAAAAAGGACTGTTCAGTGAACATCTTAAGTATATGCACCAATGTGCCACAGCCAGTGCAGATCCAGAATAGTTTTTTTTAAGGGGGTACTAAAGGGGGCTTTATAATTCTGAAGAGGTATTCTAATGAAATTAGACTTCCAAGTAACCTGCACAGACTCCAATTAACACCACATAACGTTAGATATACAGCATATCCCCAAAATGACGTTCATTATTCCTAACCTAACTCAGACCATACACTGCCCTCTGCTATTTCAGTTTTGCACTCTCTCTCATAAAATGAAAATAAACAATTATAACGTGTTCCACAATGATAACTTAAAAAGAGTTGGTTGGGAAAATGTTCAGTGTGCAGAGATGACAAAGAAGTAGGGTAGCCTATAAGAGTGTTATTTCGCAATATTTTTGGTAAACAGGCCTACATATAATTCCTATACTTCCAGTTGTGTTATTTTATAATTTTGAAAACTTTACTATTATTTTTAAATGTGCAAAACACTCAGAATAAAGAGTAAGATCAATAATAAAATGCGTTACACCCTGGATAAAACAGCTGCGCTGACATAGAACCAATATTGCATTTATAGGAGCATGTTCGATTGTTTACAAAAGTGAATCAAAGTCTAATTCATTAACTGTATGAATTTATTTAACGTAATTTTGCAAACAATGGGCCAACACTTCTTTTCATGAACGACATAGGGACAATATTGCAGCCTCCAGCTCACTATTGTATGGTATTACCTAAAAAAAACATCTTATAATACCATATTTGCCATATAATTTCAACAATTTCCATGACTTTTACATCGATTTACGTTTATTGGATAAAGAGTTTTATAAATCATTTTATAGAGATTGTATCAAATTCTGTCATTATTTTACTTACCCTTATGTCTTTCAAAGCCGGTATAGTTCACGGTGCTAGTTTCCATTATCCATGAAGTGTAGACATATTATAAGGAGTGCCCGATAGCCTCATGTTCATCGCTCCGTCACGCAGCGCAATTGTGTTTCCGAGTTCGGAGTGATCAGAGTGCAAAGCCTCGTGGTGCACTTTCTCTTTCTGTGTTTCTCCCTACTACTTCGTTTCCTGCTCTGTTCATTATCCACTATACTATCTAACAAAGACAGAAACTATAAAACAATTAAAAAAAAAATACAAATATAGGCTAATAAAAATAAAAAATTATATATATCGTGTATTATATTCTAAATCTTCTGAAATCATATTATAACTTGTGTGAAGAGCAGACCGACAATAAATTCGTTATTCGCCATCGTTATTCCCTTTTATTGTATGGTATTACCTAAAAAAAACATCTTATAATACCATATTTGCCATATAATTTCAACAATTTCCATGACTTTTACATCGATTTACGTTTATTGGATAAAGAGTTTTATAAATCATTTTATAGAGATTGTATCAAATTCTGTCATTATTTTACTTACCCTTATGTCTTTCAAAGCCGGTATAGTTCACGGTGCTAGTTTCCATTATCCATGAAGTGTAGACATATTATAAGGAGTGCCCGATAGCCTCATGTTCATCGCTCCGTCACGCAGCGCAATTGTGTTTCCGAGTGCGGAGTGATCAGAGTGCAAAGCCTCGTGGTGCACTTTCTCTTTCTGTGTTTCTCCCTACTACTTCGTTTCCTGCTCTGTTCATTATCCACTATACTATCTAACAAAGACAGAAACTATAAAACAATAAAAAAAAAAAATACAAATATAGGCTAATAAAAAAAAAAAATTATATATATCGTGTATTATATTCTAAATCTTCTGAAATCATATTATAACTTGTGTGAAGAGCAGACCGACAATAAATTCGTTATTCGCCATCGTGAAGTATTCCCTTTTAAAGAAATTTAAATCACATAAACAATTGTATATGCTAGTTTTTATTGCAAATGACATTTTTGTGTTATTTTAATATGATCATTAATGGACTAGGTCAGACAATGATCACATTTCAGTTACATTTTATCCTTGAAATCAATACAGCTTTGTTTATACTCACTTTGTACTGACAACCAATATTGTGGACTAATTTTATGATCCTAAAAAGTCAAAAGAACTTCCAAAGATCCAAAGCTTTACCGGGTGATTAGCCCAAAAGTGATTATGTCTGCTCTTATCATTCAAATCCCACATTATAACACCCTCCCTATCTTACGCTCCTGGATTTATCCCTTATAAGGAACCTCAGAGGGATATATAAACACTCCTGATGCATCTTTGCAAATAGAAAGCAGGTGAAGAGCAGCCACTCGCAGCAGCAGTACCACAACAGCAGATTACACCCTTTATCCCTCTGGATCGCTAGTGGGCAAAGATGAACGGCACTGAGGGAAACAACTTCTACGTCCCCTTGTCCAACAGGACAGGTCTAGTGAGGAGTCCTTTCGAGTATCCGCAGTATTATCTAGCTGAACCATGGCAGTTTAAAGTGCTTGCTGTCTACATGTTCTTCCTCATCTGTTTTGGTTTACCCATCAATGGCCTTACATTGGTGGTTACAGCTCAACACAAAAAGCTCAGACAACCTCTCAACTTCATTTTGGTTAACCTGGCTGTGGCTGGTTCCATCATGGCTTGTTTTGGATTCACGGTCACTTTCTACACAGCTATTAATGGCTACTTTGCTCTGGGACCAACTGGCTGCGCGATTGAGGGCTTCATGGCCACACTTGGAGGTGAGGAAAATTGTGATGTTTTTTTTTATTTTTTATTTTATTTTGACTGCTGTGAGGAATTCTTGAGGTGAATGTCAAAGTACAGTGGACTGCAATTTGGGAAAACTTACCTTGAAGGGTGTTAATGGATTTTGTGGTTTATTTGCTACACAGGTGAAGTTGCCCTTTGGTCACTTGTGGTGCTGGCCATCGAAAGATACATTGTGGTCTGCAAACCAATGGGTAGTTTCAAATTCTCTTCCAGCCATGCTTCTGCAGGAATTGCTTTTACATGGGTAATGGCCATGGCATGTGCAGCTCCCCCTTTGGTTGGCTGGTCCAGGTTGGTCTAACAAGACATTATGCAATCAATTAGCTGTCCAAACATTTCAGTGGAATGTGAGGTTTTTTTTTTTTTTTTGGTGAGATTTATTAATACATTCAATTTAAAGCAGCACAATAAGGCTTTTTACAGTTTTATGAGCACACTGAACTTTTATGCTAATTTTTATTTTAATTATTTTTATTTTAATTATTTGTACTAAAAGTAGTCCCCTCAGGGAACCATGGTTACACAAGTAACCTGAGACGTTTTTACATGCCTAATTGCAACAGAAAGCAAATTTTATGATTACTCTGACTGAAATTTTCTAACATCAGGTGCATTTCATTAACAGATATATTCCTGAGGGAATACAGTGCTCATGTGGACCAGACTACTACACCCTGAATCCTGAATACAACAATGAATCATATGTCATCTACATGTTCGTCTGCCATTTTATATTGCCGGTCACTGTAATATTCTTCACCTACGGACGGCTTGTTTGCACAGTCAAGGCGGTATGAAATGTCAATTTAAACATCCCTGTAAATTCCCAATTATTAGAATACTATGTTAAAATGACATCCTTATAATCATCCTTGGTGATTTTACCCTCTTAGGCTGCAGCTCAACAGCAGGACTCAGCATCTACCCAGAAGGCTGAGAGGGAAGTGACAAAAATGGTCATCCTGATGGTTTTGGGTTTCCTAGTGGCTTGGACTCCTTATGCCACTGTTGCTGCCTGGATCTTCTTTAATAAGGGAGCAGCTTTCAGTGCCCAGTTCATGGCTGTTCCTGCCTTTTTCTCAAAGAGCTCAGCCTTATATAACCCTATCATCTATGTGCTGCTAAACAAACAGGTTAAACATTTATCCGATTTGTCCTACATATCCCAGACATCCCTTTCCATTTCTACTTTATCTTCTCTCACTATTGTCTCTATAAAAAAATGAAACATTGTTCTTTACAGTTCCGGAACTGCATGCTGACCACACTTTTCTGTGGAAAGAACCCTCTTGGCGAGTCTTTTTCACATGTAATGTCCAATACAGTTTTTCACCGTATATAGTAGGGGAATTTACCGTTAACCATTTAACAGGTTTTTACTGTAGCATTTTTACAGTTTTTTACCGTTAAATTCACGGTCATTGGAGAAAATGGAAAATCCATGGTTACAATCAGGCAGTTTGAAAGATTTTTCAAGCATTCAAACTAGGAAAAATATACAGCAAGCCTTCAAGTGGGTTAATGATACTAGAATTTTCAATATTAAACAAACTTAAATTTCCTGTAATGGACATTTCTAATTCACTTTTTTATATTTGACGTCTCATTTTCTTTCTGGTCTACATAGATAATTTTTAAATAATAATTGTCTTATATTTTCAGTGATGTCTGTTCTCCTATACTTTTTCTCCAGAAAATGATATCAGTAATCATGGCAGTAAGCCACTAATCCTGATTCTCAGAAAGGATGTTCAGTGGCAAGGCTATGACGTTCATGAGAGCATAACAGCACGTGTTGCTTCAAGCAGCTTGACAGGGCAGCAAACTACCATGTCATTAAGGTTACATTTGCAGTATATAAATGCTGCCCTAACAGCAGGACTGTTTTGAAATGAAGAAGGCATAATGATTACAATACCTTTAATCTCTTCGGTCAACTGCTGCCTTTGTTAAAATGACAATTGGCCTCCAACATTAAGACAAAATTCACTCTTAAAGTACACAGTGTTCTCGCTATCATTTTCATTTGGTCATTGCTACCTCTTCGACCTTTTGATGTGCTCAACAAACAGTATGCACTGGATTAAATGCTTATTTCTAACATCTGACTCACTAAGTGTCTTTTGTAAGCATTTTATGAAGTCATTTACTTCTAAAAACTCTGCTTTATTGTAGCATTTTAATCTTATTTATCTTTATCTTATTTATCTTATTTATCTGAATGCAGCAAGAATCCTCTTGGAGATAATAAATCCTCAACTGTCAACAACCGAAAAACAGGGATTTGTCTACATATGTACTATCCCCGTACCTAATTTCGCTTTACAGTAAAAATTTCCATTTATTGCTGTATATTTATGTTGATAATGTTAATGCATATTTTGCTTTCACTGTCTGTTTCTATCTCTCCATAACCTGTCCTCATTGCACCTTGGTGTCCTCATTGCACATTGCAGTCATGTCGTCTAAGTGTCACTCATCGAGCATTGACACAACTGACTCTAAAAGGATTACGAGATCAGGCTCTGGTAGTAGGAATGGCATTGACTTCTCAGTGGGCACGACTCAACAAGATAAAGATAAGACAAAGATCTGCTTAAGCCAATTTGCAAGGTCTTCACCCAACTGTGGTACACTGACCTGGCTGCTCTGGCTAAAGGAATTATGGGTTTAAACTACAGTAATTGGTTTCTCCCTCATGGTGAGAAAAGTGTGCAGTACATTTACAAGCAGTCCTGTGACTCCTGTCCAAGTTATACGCTCTGTATGTATTTTGTACATGGTAAAATATCCTAGATAAACAATCAATATGCAGCCCTAGAGAGGACAATTTGCTTAAATATGCTTGGCCTAAAAATCTTAAATGTTTTTTTAAAATGCCATTTGCAAATCTCATGTTTTCTTCCATAGTGCCTTCAATTGCTGAGGGTTCTGGGGCCTCATTTATAACCGTTGCGTACGCACAAAACCTGCCCTGAAAGAGGCTTACGCCACTTCCTATGCAAAAGGTGGGATTTATAAAAAACAAACTTGACGGGAATATTTGCGCACCTGCACGCAACCTCTGACCCATGCGTACGGAGTTTTTTTCCTGGAGAAAGAAAAGTAATTAAGTAAACAACGATTTTAAACTGTTTTCATTTCATCATATACATTTCATCATATACATATACAGCACTGAAATTACATAAAGTCAGCAGAAGTTAAACCAAAATTATATGAATTTAGACAGCCTATTTGTAGTGGATGTGCTTGATTACTTTTCCTGTGTTATGTTATGTTTTAATGACAGCGAGGAGTGCTATAGGTGCACAATAATTTATCTTTAAAGTAAACTGCACATCTCATGTTATGAGCATGGGCGGCGCTAGGGAGGGGCTAACGGGTGCTTCAGCACCCCCAAGAAAGACAAAAGCACCCCCATAGCACCCCCACAGATTTTTTTCCTGGAATCAGTTATATACTATAGCCTATTGTATTTAAGATGATAATAAAAAAAAAGAAAGAAAAAAAACATTTGACTCCTTACGCATGCATATCTCGTGCAATGCAATAAAGTAGGTATCGGGCCCGATACTTACCGACAACAGAACAACAGACAGCAGAATGGAGTTAAGGATGTCTACTTATTTGATAAATTAAGTTAACCAACTAACATTATACATACTCTTTTGGTTTCTGTACCCAATATTTAAAAAATTTACAAATGCAAAAAAAATATTGGTATCGGTACTCGGTATCGGCAAGTACCAAAAATAAAAGTATCGTATCGGGCGAGTACTGGAAAAAGTGGTATCGGTGCATCCATACAATAAAGACGTGATTTGCAGCTGTCGCACTTTTCGTAATGTCATTATAGCATTTTATTTTAAAAATGGAGCGCTTCCTTGTGCTAAGTATGCCTGTCCCGAGTAAAGATTTTTCTAGTCAACTGGTCGCACGTTATATTAAATTGATTAATATAATAATATATTAACCATTCTTTAATATATAGGCAGCGTATTAGGCTATAGCCTATTCCGCGCTCAAACTCGCGCATAAAGCAATTGCCTCAAAGCACCGGCAAAGTGATTATGAACGTGTCAGGGGAAAAGAAGACATTTTAATTATTTATTAATAAACTAGTGCTTTCTGAGTCAGTGTCGGGTGCAAAGATGAAGTTGCCGAATGCCGACGCTGACTCGCCATCTCCACATAGACGTGCCTTTAATAAAATACACCTTTTCGGACTACAAAATTAAAGTAGGCTATATCACAAAATCGAGTGGGCGAGTTTTCCCTTATATTTATTTTATTATTCATATAAAATAATAATAATAACCTGTTTTGGTTATTTACTATTAATTGCAGGACTCCAGACTGCGACCATTTTTTCTGCCTGTGTGACTAAATTTTGTGAGCGGTCGCACTGGTGCGACCACCGCGTTGTTCAACTCATAAGCGCTGCCATTTCTGTTGCATATGAAAAACATCAAACGGCAACTCGTTTGAACTGCGCAGCGCTTAGAGTGTAGAGCCTGGTTTCGTGAGCAAAAATGACGCCAATATTGAGGAAATAATGGATGGTTTTCATGCTAAAGTAAAGTAAAAGACCGCTTCTTAAAACAGAGAAGGTGAACATGTTGGTATTCTTGTGGGCGGAAAAAAACATGCAAGCACTGTCACCGGCAGCAAGTTTAGGTTTACTTTTCTTTTTGTTTTCATTTTGAAAAGCTTATCTTTGCTGTTTACCTAAGGTTATGCTATGGAGGCTCTCTTTTATTTGTTTATTTTTTATTTGATTCCTCAGTGTTTGCTAAACGTTCTGTAATTTATTGCTAAAAAAGAACATTATTTTATGTATTTGGTGTAATGAAATGTGTTTATGCGGTTTAAGGTTAAAAAAACACATTATTTT